GTCCATGTGACATCAGTGGTTCAACACTAATTTTATGAAGCTACGAGAATACTTTTTTGTGCATAAAGTAAACAAAAATCACAACTTTATTCAATAATTTGTTCTCTTCCGTGTCTGTCTTCGCTGTGCAACAGTACCACGACTGATGTCACATATACTATTTTAATGATGTGTTTACTACATTTCTGGGCCTTGAACGTGTCAGTTGTGTTGCTGTCTATGCAGGGTCAGAAAGCTCTCGGATTTCAGCAGAAATATCTTAATTTGTGTTCCGAAGATGTTTGAAACGACATGACAATGAGTAATTAATGACAGAATTTTCATTTTTGCGGGTACTATCACTTTAAGTATTTATTTCTTTCAAAAAAAAGCCTCAGGCTTTTGAACAGTAATGCATATTTTTATTTAAACAGTAAATTTTTTCATATGTTGTACAGTTGAATGCAGGGCAGCTGTCTCAGCTGTTGGTCAATGTGGCGTCTGTAGATGATGAAGGGGCATCTAAACAACTGCCAGACTGCATCCCAAGTGAAAATGGCTTTGTTTTAACAGACCTGGGCAGGTTGCAGGTGAGTTTTAGTGTGCCAGTCTTCTTCAACATATTCATTTTGCTAGTCATAACAGTAATATTCTACAAATTCGATTTCATATTTTTTTCAGATCATCAATGGTCTTCGCAGATTTGAAATTGAATATCAAGGAGATCCAGAGCTTCAGCCTATCAGGAGCTATGAAAATGCTTTTTTGGTTCGACTGATGTTCCAGATCTCATCCTTTATTAATGCAAGAGTAAGAATATTGCTTAGCCTACAGTTTAATCCGAAAATGAACTTCATTATGATCATTAATGTATTCTTTTCATGCTTTTCACTTTTATCAAATGTGACAATATTGGTTGTGTCCTATAGTTTGGAGACCACATGGAAGCGTTGTGTTCTCGACAGGACCTCCTGGGCAGTATAGGACGACACTACCTGAGCAGTTCCTCAAAAGTGGCGGAGCAGCGGCGGAAGAGTCCGGTGCCGCGGCAGATGAGGGATCGTCCTCAGCGAGCCCGTCTCAGCCTGCGGGTGCTGGCCAGCTATCGCACCCTCCTCATCCTCCTCCTGCTCTACATGCTGTTTGCACTACTATCATTCGGTACTCTCTCCAGCACTGGACTCGTTCTCATCGTCAGCTTTCTATATGAGCTCCTGTTGAATTTCTTTCATGAAAAACTAAAGACTAAGTAAAGGAAGATTCATGATGCCCTTTTTTATATTTTATTTTTTTAATGTCAATACTAAACTTCTAGCGACCTGTTGCCATGAAGGTTTTTATATACAGTATTTGCACTGCAAGTGTATTGGTACATTTAATGATAAATTGAACGGGGAATGTCGTATCTAATGCACAGTGTTGTTTTGTTTTTTTATTTACCAATGAGAGGTGGTTAATCCAGCTTTCCAATCATTAAGTTCATTTATAATGGTGTGTTTTTGCCAATGTGACTCAAAACAATCCAAAGTTTGCACTTAACTGACTGCATTTCATTAAATGGACATAATGAATGTCTAATTTGTGTACTAGATTTCCATTGCTGTAGAAACTTGGATGTGTAGCACATCTCCAGGGAATTTTACATTGAATTGAAGTATTGAATTGACTTTGTTAAATCTGTTATATCCCAGCAGAATTAGAGGAAGTAGTGCTGTTACTATAGCAGCCACTACAATATTAAAAGTTCCAGCGGGAGAGAAAGGAGTGTAGTCTTCAGAGACAAATCAGCTCTTTCTATGACAACGTGTAAAGGCACTTTTAGGATTTTGGGTAAAACACGAGTTATGACGCAACGTGGTAGTGATACGTCATCCTTGTGAGTACACGTATGTGACGTAGTGCGGCAGTGAATCGAGGGAACTTGTTTCACAGCGAAATGGATACACGCGTAGCTTCGCTGCAGAGGAATATTGACTTCTTACAAAGGCAGCACAAAGAAACTGGAGAAATTACACGGTGAAATAGATATTTTAAAACGGGAAAATAAAGGTAAATTTATGTAGCATGTTATAGAAATAATGTTTGGGCCTTTTAATGAACGATACATTCATGAGACAACTAAGTGTGCTTCTATTATATGTAAACTAGTGTGCAACAATTATATATATTTTTCTTGTGCTTCATAGATAGTATTTGTCAGTGTACTTTCAACAAACTTTATTGTATTTGACGTAACTCACTGAAAATGGGACTAGATTAATAATGTTGTCTGTTTTGCTGTTATAATCTCTCTACTTGCCTAAATTTATCAGTTAAAAGCATAGTTCACCCAATTCTGTCATGTACTCACACTGTTAAGACCTGTAGGAATTTCTTTTGAAATACAAATGAAATGTTAGGCGGAATGACAGGGTCAGTCTTCATTCACTTTCACTGTAAGTAAAGTTGCAATGAACGTGGAGACTCGGGCTGTAATCTCTTTTTCAGTGAATTAAAGACTTGCAGGTTTGAAGCAACACGAGAGTGAGTAAATGATGACAGAATGTGCATTTTGAGGTTTAGTGAGGATGGGGTGTATATCAGAGCTGATACTCTAGTGTAGTACAGGTTGCCTGGTGACGTCGAGTTGCTGAATGAGGAAAATGAAAGAATGGCGTTTGTAACCTCTGGGTGGCAAAGGGTCATTTTACTCCGACAAACGTTTTGGTGTTTTGTTTCTGACTGTCGAAAAGAGATTTGTTTAATGAAATGTAAAGGTATTTTGCTTACAACAACGTGAAAGAAATAACAGTTTAGAATTTTCAGTTTCAAGATTTTTTTTTATTACGGTTAATATTTTCCTGAAAAGCCATTAAATATACCATAAGGTATTTTATGTAATGATATGCTTCTGAAAATGTCATAATTGTAAAATATAAATCAGTATCTTTAAACGTATTCCCACTGGAACAACTTATCCCATATAATGGACATTGTCACAAAAAGTGACTGTCCTGTGCATAAGTGGAAATCGTTCATTAGGTTTCTGGTTGTCAGTGCTTTAAGATATGATACTAATGACTTCCAAAAAAAAAAAAAACTATTCTGAAAAATATTCAACAAAGAAAAATGCGTGACGTCTAGCCCTGGTCTTTTAACATGACTCATTAAATTTGATATATCATATGATGCAGTGAGATTCAGGCAGAAAAAGTCTTTCAATAAAGTTGTATTTTATTTGAATATAAAATCATAAATGACAATAACAGAAAATAAATTGAGTTTAATCTGTAAAATCATAACACTCCAAAATATCTAAGAGATCACCAAGTTGTCTAAATAATTTGAGGATCTAAGCGTCTGAGTATAATAAGCTTCAAAAGACAAAGGCCTTTGCAGCATGAGCTCAAAAGAAGAAGCTCTCTCTCTCCTCTCTCTCTCTCTCTCTCTATATATATATATATATATATATATATATATATTTTTATAAGCAGAAGAACTTACATCCTCCTACAACATTACCATGATGTTGTGAATGTTAAACGGATTAATCAATTTTGTCATTATCTGCGTATTGTCAAACATTTAAGGCGAATTAAGTAAGGACTAGGTCACATTGACATGACCCATGAAAAGCTACAGGTGCGAAAATAGAGATATGAATTGTGGTTTACACCCTTCAAGCAGAAACGGGTTAGCAATCCTCAAACATCACTTTGCAAATACCAGCTCTTGGAAAGAACATCTAGTACCAAAAAAGGCAAATTCACAAGAACATCCTTTACATATAAAATATTTTTTGGGGGAAAAAAAAAAAAAATGGTGTTTATCATCTTACCAAAACATCCTTTTACCATAACAAAATGTACCTTTTTTATGTCAAACCAAAGAAAAATATACTACATCTACGGAATAAAAATAAGAAATACATACAAAAGAAAAAAGATGAGTAATACAAAAAAAGTTTTTGCAAGATTTTTAATGTTTTTAAAGAAGTCTCTTCTGCTCACAAAGCCTGCATTTATTTGATCCAAAGTACAGCAAAAACAGTAAAATTTTGAAATATTTTTACTTTTATATAAATAAAATAGAAAAATTATAAAATTATATTTGTTTTCCATTTGAATATATTTTAAAATGTAATTTATTCCTGTGATTTCAAAGCTGAATTTTTTGCATCATTACCCCAGTCACACATTGCTGCTCAAAAAACTTTTATTGTTATTATGTTGAAAACAGCGGAGTAGAATTCTTTCAGGTTTCTTTGATGAATAGAAAGTTCAGAAGAACAGCATTTATCTGAAATAGAAATATTTTGTAACATTATAAATGTCTTTATCATCACTTTTGATCCATTTAAAGCTTCCTTGCTAAATAAAAGTATTAATTTCTATCATTTATACTGACTACAATTATACTGACTCCAAGCTTTTGAATGGTATAGTGTATAATGTTACAAAAGCTTTTTATTTCAGATAAATGCTGATCTTTGGATCTTTCTATTAATCAGAGAATCCTGAAAAAATGTACTCAAAATGTACTTATTGATAATGATGATAATAATAATAATAAATGTTTCTTGAACAGCAAATCAGCATATTAGAATGATTTCTGAAGGATCATGTGACACTGAAGACTGGAGTAATGATGCTGAAAATTTAGTTTTGATCCCAAGAATAAATTACATTTTAAAATATATTCAAATAGAAAGCTGTTCATTTAAATCATAAAAAATATTTTACAATATTACTGCTTTTGCTGTATTTTGGATCAAAATACAGTGAGCAGAAGAGAATACTTAAAAAAAAAAAAACATAAAACAAATCTTACTGGTAATGTTTAGTAACATGACTATAATGAAGAGTAACAAAAACAATTAAAAATAATTTATAATGTGTAATAATAAATATGAGAATAAAAAAAAAAGATAAGAAAAAATAACAATATTGCAAATTTGCATACACCATCATAAATTAAACATCATTCTCCATTGTGTATTTTTATGTAATTATGTGGTTACAGAGCTGCAGTATAAGCTGATAATGGAGCTTCCAAAGTCGAGCAGTAAAGGTTGAGTGACACTTGTGTTCTCTCACATCTTCTCAAACAAAACCATTGGACAGGTGTATGATTGGTACACGTTTAACTTGCACCAAAATTCCACGACAGGATCCAGCCGGAGAATCTGTTAGCATACAGACAGCAACAAGTTCCAGAGAGACAGGAAGAACTATCTGGAACAGACTTTGGAGGAAACCTGCTCACCACAAGCCACAGAGATCAGGTGCTTACAAAACTGCATATAACATTTTTTTATGAATGTAATTTAACCTAATATTTTATTATTATTTTTTTTTTTAATAATTTAATAATAAATTAATAACATTCTTCTTATACCTACAGCAGTCATTTACAATGTAGAGAAACCAGATCAAACTCCCTCACAGCCGACAGAACAGAAGCCAAAGCAGGGTTCATCACTTCTCTACAGCCTCTGATGATCCAGTGTAGTCCATCTCAGGCCCCTCGACCTCCCACCCTACAGGAATGTGAGGTCATCATACGCCAGCTGTACAACGCTAACAGCCTACAGTCCCAGGAGGTGAGATCATATATTTCTTAATGCCTTTCAATATATTACATAATCCATTTTAATTTGTCTTCTCTCAGATCCAACGTGTGAAAGCCGTTCTCAAAGACATTGTATTCAACAAGAAAATAATTGCAGAGAATTACATTTTGACCAAGGCTTATCTTGCTGATGGTAAAAGGTCATTTCGTTTTTCTTTGCATCTCACCCCAAAATCAAAGGAAAATAAGAAAATTGCAAGAATATATATATATATATATACACCAGTATATATTTTCCAGTGATTGATTTTTAAGTTTTATTGTAAACATGAATAAATGTGATTGTGTACAATTATTTACTTTAAATTACAAAAAAAAAAAAGATATACTTTAAAATGTATCTCTTATATTCTGATTCCTTAAAAAGACTCAAACAAAATACATCTAACCCATTTGTAAAAACTGTTTTAATAAGGCATGAGTTACAGGCTGAGCTGGGAGAAACGCCGGTACTATCTCAATTCTCTCCTATTTGGGGTAATGCATTATTTGTTCCAGGGAAATCAGACATGGGCTTTAAGCTGTGGTTACAGAAAGGCTTAGAGAAGATTGTAGATCTTTATGAAGATAATATACTGACGCCCTTTGAAACTTTAAAGGAAAGATACAGAATTCCTCAGTCTCATTTTTTTAAGTATCTTCAGATCCGTAATTTTATACGATCTAGGACTCATTCATATCAATGTCCTACTCTTAAGTAGTTTAGAAGAAATGGTAGTTAAAGTTCCCAGTGCTAAATACAAAATTTCTACGCTGTATAGCAAATTTGTTAATGCTTCCAAAGAATCTACAAATCATAAAAGATTGGCTTGGATTGATGATCTTCAGATGGATGTTACAGAAAATGAGTGGGAAGAAAGTTGTGTTCAAGCGCAAACATTGTCGATCAATAACCGTTTTAAACTAATCCAGTATAATTGGATAATGAGAACATATATAACACCGGAAAAGTTGAATAAATTTAATCGAAATATTTTGGACATTTGATTTACGGGAACACTATTTCATTGTATTTGGCAATGTGAGTACTTAGTCCTTCTGGAAAGAATTAGTAGGTGTAATATCTAAAACTATAGGTAAAGAAATCCCGGTTTGCCCTAAAATCTGTATTCTTGGTCTTCTTCCACCCGCCTTATCTTTGAAAACATATGAACAGAAGTTTGTAAACCTGTGTCTACTACACGCGAAACACCTGATTGCCATTCACTGGAAAAGTATTCATGGTCCATCTCTGTCACTCTGGATTAAAGAATTGTATTCTTGTATAGCAATGGAAAGACTAACTTAATCAAACAAACAAAAAAATGCACATATTTTACAAGATCTGGGACTCCTTCCTACGTTTTTTAGATCAGAATGGACTGACTCTTGAGTAATACCAAATAATGTGATCATGCCCAAGTGTTTAATGGCAGTTGACTAATGTGTGAACTGTGTTTCTGATTCATTTGAACATATTTGTTTTTCATTGGTAATTACATATGCTGAACTGTCATTTTCTTAATGCATTTTACAATAATGGCCCTTTATTTTTTTTATGTGTATGTGTAAATGTTTCTTATGGCTCTTATGTCGGGAGTAGTGTGGGTGTTCTTTGGTTGGAGTTTGGTTAGTTACAATATATATGTAATTCCTTTTCTTAATATTTTGAAACAATAAAAAAAGTATCTAAACAAAATGTATCTCTTACATTATGGTAAAAAGATCAGAGTGACTTCACATAAAGTTTGAGCAAATATGATATCGTTTTCCAATATATATTCAGATGGCCTTTTACCCTTACCTTCATTTTTTGGCAGAGCTGACGAATCAGACACATTTCCTCAGCTTTCTCTCCAAACACTGCCTAAAGGACTGTAAGTCATTGCTTGTAAATATCTGTATATAACCTGTATATTATATATATATATATATATATAAAATAGTTTCCAACCTGACTGACATAAACAGTTCAGTTTTGGAGATATGAACCTTTGCTCTGTTACTATTTGAACAGACCTGTGTCTCAGGCTACTAAAGCAGAGAAAGTGATCCTCCCTGCCCTCAAACAGCCCCTCAACGTAGCAGACAGACACGGGAGGACTCAGGCTGTGCAGAGACGTCGTCTACAGAGGACTATGCGCTGAAGGACCAGTCATGTGGTTACGTGACTTCTGTGCCACACATTTCAGACTGAAACAGCAGTTTAAATGTCTTTATTAATGAAGCAATGCACAAACAGTTAAGGCCTTAGTGTACGGGACTAAACAAAACAGATTATAATTCAGGTAAATAAAAAATGACTAAGTATTAATATATTGCCATCATTCCATAGAGGTGCAAGGATTATACTGGGCTGATAGTGCTGATGGGAATACATTCTAAGCAGCTGAAAGGCAAGCCTGCCTCACGCTTTGAGCCCAGGTGTTCAGCAGCGCCGTCACCGAGTGCTTGTCAGGAAGCTGAAGGAGTTTAGAGGTCATGTTCTTATGCACACTCTGCAAGAAGGGGTTGGCCTCTGAGGAACAGAGAGAGGGAGGTAAGGAAGTGATGAGTTAATGCGTTTCACAGCCTATGGATTTTCATTTAAATTGGGAGCTTAAGAGTGTTTGCATTTTAAAAGGCAGCCTAAGATAGCATGCTGACATTTAATGCACAAATCAGGCTTAGACTCACCATACTGCTGACCGTCATCTTCCCAGTGGGGGCTCTGATCGGGGTAGTCTGCTGGAATGCTCAGCTGAAGAGGGGGAACACTGGGAAGATTTTTATCATCTAGACAAAGACAATGACAGGAGTGAATAGACCCAATATATATATATATATATATATTTTTTTTACATCTAAAGGGCGCATATAGTGGGCACGGGGCCTGAACTGACCTAGTTTACATATGAGATGCACCGTTCCATTGTTGCTGCAAAAGGACGGGTCTAGATTGACCAGGAATTTGGAATGAAGACGAGCCACCTCCCCTTGAAGTATGTTAGGGATGGTCTGGCGCTCGTCATCCTCCAGCTTCCGTTTACGGGAAGGAATTGAGGGACCCCTGGAATTGAAGATTATGCATTTTAATGTTTAAATTTAGGAGTTAAGGCTGGGTGGTATATATACACCATACACTGCTTTTCATTTTTAAACTCAAAACTATATTGTGAAAAGCTTAATGAGGTTATTAAAAAAGCATTTAATACATATGTATAACATGGCTATGTAATATAAACGCCATTATAAAATTACTACTATTGTGATATAACGTTTATAATAGATATCATTTGAAAGTTTTTAGTCATTACGTTTTTGTTTTTTTTTATCAAGTGACAGTAAAGACATTTACAATATTACAAAAGATTTCTATTTCAACTAAATGCTGTTCTTTCAAAGTTTTTATTCTTCAAAGAATCCTTATAAAACTGTATCACTGTTTCTACAAAAATAATAAAAAGCACCACTGCTTTCAACACTAATGATAATAATAAGAAATGTTTCTCAAGCATTGTTATATATTATATATTAGAATCATTTCTGAAGGATCATGTGACACTGAAGACTACAGTAATGACTCGTGAAAATTCAGCTTCGTCAAAGAAATTACATTTTAAAATATAGCAAAATAGAAGTTATTTAAAATTGTAATTATATTTCACAATATTACTGTATTTTTGATCAAATAAAAGAAACATTCCAAAACATCTGAAAGGTAGTGTTCATTATATACCACAAAAGCAATGCACTGATGATTTAAAATGTAGGCCTATTATTTGTAAAGTTTTACATTAAAGGGATAATTCACCCAAAAATGAAAATTCTGACCCTCCCATAGACAGCAATGTAATTACCAAGATCAAGGTCCAGAAATGTAGCAAGGACATCGGTAAAATAATCCATGTGACAACAGGGGTTCAACCAGTTTTACGAAGCTACGAGAATACTTTTTGTGCGCAAAGAAAAAAAAAACGAACAACTTTATTCAACAATTCATCTCCGAGGAGCCACGCGGCGTGGCTGACACAGAATAGCATACGTTATTTACGTTCAGCGGATACTCTCCAAAATGGAGCTAGGGTGGAGACGAATTGTTGAATGAAGTCGTTTTTTTTTTTCTTTGCGCACAAAAAGTATTCCCGTAGCTTCGGAAAACTATGCTTGAACCCCTGTTGTCACATGGATTATTTTACAGATCTCCTTGCTACGTCTCTGGACTTGGGGAACATTTCAGTTGTATTGCTGTCTATGGGAGGGTTAGAGAGCTCTCAGAATTCATCAAACATATCTTAATTTGTGTTCTGAAGACGAACAGATGTCTTACGGGTTTGGAACGACATGAGGGTGAGTAATTAATGACAGAATTTTCATTTTTGGATGAACTATCCCTTTAAAGGGGTCATATGATGCGATTTCAAGTTTTCCTTTCTCTTTGGAGTGTTACAAGCTCTTGGATAACCGACTTAAATGAGAGAAAATACAGATTTTTTCAGCTGTTGATCTTACGTGATTGGGGGTCCATGAATTGCTGTCATAGCAGGAGCAAACGTGCGGTAAAGTGAATGGTTGAAAACCGGGGAGCGGATGTTGGCCAAGACAGCATCCAGCAGCGGCTGGCACAGGTACTGCTTTTTGGTAGAGGGCACTGGAGGAGGGGGAGGAGTCGGCTGCAAACCAAAGTCAGACGTCATTGTAGAAATTGGTTAAACAATAGAACTGAACTTTGACTCCCTATCTTGAAACGAAAGTTACTTACCACTGCCATGTCATTCTTTAGTTTCTCCAATGCTATTTCACACTTCTGTAGTGTTTTAAGTGGACATCTAGTGGAGGACAGCAATAACACAACCTTAATCACAAGACAAAGATCCGACACTGGAGACATTAGGGCCTTTCGCACCGCTTTAGTTCCAGAACTAAATGTACAGTACTGAAGTACTGGGACGATTTTGCGCGAACTATTTCCCAGTACCATTTAAAGGGTTGCATCATCATGTCTGGTTTCTTACCTTGTGTTGGGGTCAGTCAAAATGTTGAGCAAACTTTTCATTTTGCTCAAATCCTTCTTCCTATCTGTAAAGACCAAACATAAACCATGATCTTTAAGATCCAAGTGGGGAAAAAAATCAGCATCAAAAGAGAAGAAATCTCCAGTACCTTCATTTTTGTCTATTTTGTTAATCATTCTGCGCAGCGGCTCGATATATTTTGACAGCTGCTTCAGTTTGTCCATGTAAAGCTGGTCCTCAGATTGTGAGGCCCCTGCTGGGCTCATTACAGAACTTGGATTGCCTGTAATCCAAAAAATAAATAAATAAAATAATTATGATTGCAACAAATTACAATTCTGGCCAGCAGTGATAAGTAAATAATAATTTTTATGTCTAATGTCTAATTAAATATAAAATGAAATAATTGTTATGTCTAATGTCTAATTAAATATAAAATTATATAATAAATAAATAAAAAATACATAAAAATTAAAAATCTATCATTTTAAATGTTACAATTGAATTTTGGCATCACAAAATTATAATGTGCAGTATTAAAATGAATTTAGAGATTTGCTAAAGATTACATTCAACAGTGTGACTGAATTGATCAGTTTTTAAAGATTAAGTGAGAAATAGATTTAGGAAATATAAAATCCGAAATTCTAGTCCGAAATTTTCACACATTAAAAAATAAATACAACCTCACATTGTGTCAATCACGTTTACACACTGCCTCCGAAACTTTCGTTCATCATAAAAACATTCGGACCAGGTTCGATTTTCTGCATTTTCGCATCCGTAGCAAGCATTTTGATAGGAAAGGATGACGAATATGAAAAAAAAAAAATGGAAAAAAAAAAAACGCATACAAAAATTTCGGACTCAGTGTGCAAAGACCTTAAGTGTAAAAAAACACAGAATGTAAAAAACAAGTATGCACAATTAAATATTCAATATTAACTAATAGGCCTGGGCGATAAAACTGTATCGATATTTATCGACGGTACACCTTCTTCGATAACGATATTAAAAATGTTCGATATAGTGCACAATATAGACACGTGCTATGAGTGATGCAGACAGCACACACAAATACAAACACGAACATGAGTGCTGTGCCTGCCTGTGATGAGGAGATTGTGAATAAAAAAAATTAATATTAGTCGAAATAATGTGCTGCATTATTTTGCTCATTGCGCCCTCCTGTGGCCTCGGGAAACAAGCCAAAAGTTTAAAGGGAATAAACAACGTATGCTGTTCTGTGTCAGCTGCGTCACACCGGATCTGTGTCCTACGTTGTTGTTATTCGATCTGAACGAAAACGGCGTATCCGTGTGACGCAGCTGACACAGAACAGCATACGCTGTTTACGTCCAGCGGATACTCTCCAAAATGGCGCTACAGGGTGGTAAGGGGAGGAGACTAATTGTTTAATAAAGTCTTCTTCTTTTTTTCTTTTGCGCACAAAAATTATTCCCGTAGCTTCGTAAAATTACGGATGTCACATGGATTATTTTACAGATCTCCTTGCTACGTTTCTGGACTTGGGAACATTTCAGTTGCGCCCAGTCCTATTAACTAATTTATACATAGCTTAAAAAAAATGTATACGAGTATAACAAGAAAGCTGTTCTGTACCTGGTGTATTGAGAGGTCCTGGTGAAGGTACCTGGAGGGGGTAACTCTGGGGGGTGCGTGAAGATGCAGGACTCTGGGATGGTTGAGGAGAGGGGCTGGGTTGGAAACCTCCAGGAGAAGGGGTTGGACCAGAGCTAGAGCGAAAAAGTTTTAATTAACCTTTTGTAGTCATGTCAATACATAGTAGAAAAACTAAACTATTTCACTATACCTGACAGAGTTGGGCTGAGAGGAAGGAGGCTGGGGGGATGGCTGAGGCTGGGGGGGAGGTGGCATCGGCTGGGGGGTCTGCACCTGAACTGGGGAGGGGGATGACATCATTTGCTGAAGACATCAGGTCAAGATCAGTTTGCGCTGACTGTACAGCACCAGTAGATGGCGCTATATAACCAGTAGATGGTTGCTTCCAATTAGCTTCCTAGCACTTTAAGAGAATAGCAAAATCCAGTCCACTTACCTGTGCCACACACTTTTCATTTCAATTTTAAGCTGCCCTAAGTGCTTCTGGGTCATTTCTGACTAAATGTTTCTGATTGTGAAACTAGTTAGGGGTGGGAGTGGGGGGGGTGTAAAGAGAGGCAGATGAGTGTGGATTATGGACAGCCTTCGCTCTAGTGTAAAGCCACAGACGTACGCACCCGCTGGGTTGCAGCGCTGAGACCCAGCACTTAGCCCTGCGGTAAATACCTGTGGCATTTGCTGTCCTCCAATGGCAACAGGGTTTTGAGGAATGGCAGAGTTCGGGGTGGCGCGGGGCAACCGAGGTGGAATTTGCATCCCAGGACGGGGCATCATCTTTGAGGAGGACAGAGGGGACAACAGACATGTCACAAGCAAAACAATAAATGCAGTGCATCAGCGGACATGAGGAAGCACATGCAAGAATGCAAACAGAAATAGATTCGACAGGTCTGCAAGCACAGATGCACATACAGTCACATTCAATTACGCAACACGAGGCTCTCCAAAAATAAAAAGATTTGGCAGTATAGTGAGCTTCCTCTCATTCCTCTAGAGCACGTAAAAGAATATCCTGGTTTCAATACAACTTCAGCTCAATTGACAGTACTTGTGACATGATGATTACTACTTACAAAAATTCATTTTTGACTTGTCCTTACCATCTTTAAAATAAGAAAAAATCTGGGGTGCACTTACAACAGAAGTGAATTGGGCCAATCCATTTCAATACTAAAGCCAGATACAAAATATTAATTATTTCACACAAGTGTGAAAAAAAAAATCAACTAACTTTTCTGAGTAAAGTTACACCTAAACATAACACCTAAAATGACAAGAATAACTTTACAGCTCAAATAACAGACAGAATAAATTTAAGTGTGATTTTACTAAATTATAGGTTTCACATTTTTGCTTTTAAATCCTCCAGAAAATGGCCTCATTTACATTTGCAGTATAAGGCTCACTGTAACTGGTTGTGGTAACCAAAAATGATGCCAATTGAGCTTAAATTGTATTGAACCTCAAATATATTTAACAACACTGGTTGTCAAGACAAGGCAAGCCACAGGCCAATGGATTTCATGCCGTCTTTTCATGTACCACAACCATGCAAGGCAAGAAAAGATGCAATGGGTGCTTCTGCATCTCCAACACGTCTTTTAACTGTAAATTAAAGCTGTGGTTGAGCTTGCCATCTACTAATGGCTTTCAGAGGGGTCAAACAATGTGTGGATGCTATGCAACCATCGATATCTTCCTTCAAATACATTCAAGGAATCATTTAAAGGCCCAAAGGACAATATTGGAGTATGTTAGCAATCACTGCACTGTCATTTATTTATTTTTAAAAGAATGCATTTCTTGTCAGGTGCATGCAGAAAGTGCTTGTGGGTTCAAAATAGTAAGCAAGCAATCAGGCTGTTAGCTGCACATACACGCATAATGCAAATGAGATTAAAAACTAAAGCTACTCAAACTTAAACTGGCTGCTCTGCTGGATGTCACAGCTCTGCAATAGAATAGAGATTTCCATCTCTAGATTTAGTATAAACTATGGCCACACATATGGGACAAGGTGAAGGAAAGCAACATGAAGCAAAATGTTATCTTCCGCCGAATGCTCACAGATGGGAGGGTCACCCTTGAGGGAGAGATCTGACTAAATGTATTTGAGAAAGTAAGACAGGCAGCTAGTTTAGCTTATATATGGTTAAAAACTGTATGTACTTTATATATACCAGCTAATGGCAAGTGCTAACAAATATAGCAGAAATAGCCTCCAGAATGCATTTGTAGCAAGAAGTGTTGGGCATTTATTCAATGAGATTACCTGTAGAACTAACTATGCTTCCAGCAGTGAGATTTTTTTGTATCAGAATCAGTATCAACCTTAAACAGCCACCCACCCACACAAACACATACAGGAAATTACATTATACTGCTTAGGTTGCTGTACAAAGTATTATATATGTTTTATTATTAATCAATTATAATACATTCATATTATTACAATAATGTTACTATTATGAATTAAATACACACATATATATATATATATATGGGTCAAAAATGAGACATCCCATTTTGATGTCCACATCAAATTTAATTTACAAAACTGATTTTATATACATAGAAATCATATTAAATAAATAAAAGAAAAAGTGATAATACAGCTAGGGTTAAACCTAGTGGTTTGAAGGGTAGTGGAAATTTTTTTTTTTAATTACAATTCATTAGCTTTAGAGGGCTGCACTGTAATCCTTAAATAGAGAATTTTTATGTCATCTAATGATTCTTTTTCCAAACAATTTTTTTGGTATATGAACTATTGTTACATTTTAGTGGGTGTCTTATATAAATTGTAGTAAAAATGTACAATAGTCATTATTTTTTACTCAGAAAAAAAATAAGTAAATAAAATTGAACACTAGACATTCTAATGAACAGAGAAAAAAATAATAATTTAAAGCTGATTTCAATGTATAGTTTTGATGCCTGACCTATATTTTATGTATACTGACCAGAGAACGAGGCTCACTGCTGTGGCCAACAATTAAACCTCTGTTGACAAAAATAATATTGATGTACCTTGTGTTATTATTAGGACATGTGCAGTACACTACGGCCCACCACCAGGCAAGGAATAGAGTTTTGACATTCAAAAGAAATTCAAGTGTTGATTTTGGTAGCATGCAATCACTCCACGCTTAATCTCTTATCTCAGTCCTCATCATGGCTTGCACTGGGCTTACCTGGCCAGGAACTGCGGCGAGCTGGCCTGCCTGCTGGACCTGTTGAGCCTGCTGTTGTTGTTGCTGCTGCTGCTGCTGCTGTTGCTGTTGCTGTTGTTGTAATACTCTCGCCTGCTTGTATAAACCCAAGCAAACAGGAAGGTATATGAGACACTGAAACTGCCAGGTGCAATATGCATTTCATCTGACTATTTACGATCACATCAACCAAGACGAATGTCAATAATAGGTGTAAAAATTGTTATGAATTTTGCATTATTTGCAGTTTGCAGCTTTACCTGCATTACCTGCTGGAGCTTCAGGTGTTGGCTGAGTGAGCTGATGGGTTGATGCTGTCCGGGAGCCATTTGTGCTAATGACTGGGGCACCATGACTTGCTGCTGCTGCGAATGAGGGGGCATCTGACCTGCCACTCCCTGAACCTGCACCTGGGCTTGACCTTGAGCTTGGACCTGGGCTTGGACCTGAGCCTGGACCTGGGCTTGAAGCTGCTGTTGCTGCTGCATTTGAGCCTGGGCTTGAGCTTGAGCTTGAGCTTGAGCCTGAGCCTGAGCTTGAGCCTGGGCCTGGGCCTGTGCCTGGGCTTGAGCCTGAGCTTGGGCCTGAGCTTGAGCCTGGGCCTGGGCCTGAGCTTGAGCTTGTGCATGAACCTGTTGTTGGTGCAGTTGCTGCTGCTGCTGCTGTTGCAGTTGCTGCATTTGTGCTAACTGCTGCTGCTGCTGCATTCTTGTTTGGTGCAACTGGAGGCAGAGCCATTAAAACAATATATACACAATGAGAAATGAAACATCACCAAAGGAACTCAATTAGGGCTGGGTATTGGTACAGATAATAGTAATCAATTAGATTCCAATTCACAAACTCTTGATTCGATTCTGATCTCTCTACTAATACTGTAAACTATACAGGGAATCGTGTAATTTGGTACATTACTATAGTTTTACATTTTAAAACTAATAACAGTCTCCAAAATCAATGGGGAATATGTTGAACATCCTGTTTTACAGAATAGGGAAGTTTGTTGCACATAACTTTTATCTCTATTTATATTTAGATATAATCATCAATACTCAAAAACTGAGTTATATAAAAACATGTAAATTGCACATAAGGCAGTACATCAACTTTTTAATGCTAAAATTATTACTACTGCAGTTTGTTGTTGAAATATAAACATTTAAACGGTGGCTAACATCATTTATTCCATATAATACAGTGCATATATTCAGCAAAATGCTTCTCTCTAGAGTTTTTTCTAGTTGACTATATCGAATCTATGGACACTGAATGGCTTTCATTGACGTCTTTCTATGTTTAAAACACTGAGTGATTACATGAGACATGAGACATTTCAGTAAGTTGTACTGTTTCTTTCAATATATACTCTGATGTTCTGTTATAACTTGTAGTAAAGAGGAAAGGATGAGCAGGTGAACTGAGGCAGTTACAGTGATCTGTCATTCCACGTTAAAAAGAGTTTTCATATTCTTTATATGTTTACTTATGAATCCAAAATGAGGATTTGTAAAGAAGAATGTCGGAGGATTTCGATATAAGCCAAGAGGAGACTGGTTTTCCTTTGCTAAAGTAAGGAAACTTTGCTTCCTTTGCTCCTGTAAACAAACGTTGGTTTTCACGAGACTCACTGGCACATGCGCAACGCCGACATCTTACGTCATCCTCCCGGAGCTGCTCCGTGTACATTAGTGAGCACAAGCTAGATTAAAGTGATTATTACATTTTGAATATGGATTTTTTTTCTCACAAAAACGCATCGATTCACTAGAGGAGGCCTTTGTTCACCCCCCGGAGCAATGTGAGACACTTTTTTTTTTTTTATGGATGGGCACTTTTTATTTCACTTCATTTGGACTGAAGCATTGCAACACCCACTGACTGCAATGATAGAATTTTTAATATAACTCCGACTGGATTCGTCTGAAAGAAGAAACACATATACACCTAGGATGACTTGAGGGTCAATTTTATAATATAAAAAGAGTAATTTATGTACTAATTTTCATTTTCGGGTGAACTAACTTTAACCAGCTAATGATGTCATATGTTTGAATAAATGACAAGTTAGCCACCGTTTAAATGGTTATTTCAACAAACAGAAGTAGAAATAGAATTTTACCATTAAAAAGCAGATTTTTTTGTTTTGTACAACTCAAATTTTTTATTTGAATATTGATGATTATATCTGACAAAGCTCAAAAACAACTCTGATTGCTGCAGGTGCACTACAAAAAGTGTTTACTGAAGTTCCATTTACACATCAACAGAAAACAGCATAGAAAGTTCATCTGAAAATTGGTTTATCAAAATTAAGATAAATTAAAACTGATTAATCGATATTGTCAACCCAGCCCTAGTTTTCACTGATTATTAGACTATGTCTTAAATGCTTTTTCTCCAAAAGAGGGAAAATTATTTAGTTAATTAAATTATTGTGATTAATGATTTAAATATATATAAAATAAGTAGGGCTACACAAGACTTGGAATAAGTTGTACAATTACGACAAATTATTACAGAATTTTCTGTTTTAAGTAATCTAACCCTTTAATTCATAAGACATTCATGCAGTATTCAATGGATCATCACCACCACCATTTAAGTGGAGCAAACATTAATATTTACATTCTCCATTACCTGGTTCTGTTGTTGCTGCTGAGTCTGGGCCTGCTGCTGTTGTTGATTCTGATGCTGCATTTGTTGATTCTGATGGTGTTGCCTTATCTGTTGGAACTGCATGGCATTCGGCTGCATAGCTGCTGGCTGCTGAGCCTGCATGACTGCCTGTTGCTGCGACTGAAACTGCTGAAATTGAATGGACTGCTGCTGCTGCTGCTGCTGTTGCATCATCGGCATCTGCCCGGCAGCACCTGCTGAGATTGATATTGCATCACAGGCAATGTATGGGAATTAAAAATAAGATTATTAAACCACAGTTTCTCTAATCAGCTGACAGCTATAGAACTTACCAGCCTGCTGGCCTCCCTGCATGGCATGTTGACCCATTTGCATTTGCATTGGCCCCATACCACCCATTTGTGCACCAGGGGGCCGTGGTCCAATGCCAATAACTCCAGGTCCACCTCCACCCACTCCTGGTATACTTTGCAGGGCATTCATAGGGTCTAAAAATAAACAGTAATACCTTGAAATTTGGCAGAAAATGAACACATACAGTTTAATAGTGTATATAAGAAGATCTAAAATAGCTCTTTAAATTTACCAGGCCCACCTTGTGACTTTTTATCTGCAATGAAAAACAAACTGATCAATACACAGTACACATACAAACGACACAGCTAAAAGAAAAAAATGTTAACAATGAAAACATAGTATATTGGCCACTTACGAATGTCTCTAAAATGAATTATCAGTCTTGCAACTAGAGACAAATACTCCTCCTGTTGAAAAAAAATGATAGTATACTTATTGCACTTTTAACAATCACATACTAACAAATCTTTTCTGTTGGAGTGTAGTATGCATATTTAAAATAAATACTTACTCTTGTCTTTGCCTTGATAAAAACATGGTTCTCCATGTCAGTACTGGACTTTGTGTGAGCAGTTCCTGCTTTTCTCATGGCTTCATCTCTGCAATATAATAAAGCAGAAGTCTGAATGTTTTATCACAATTGATGCATGACAAACAAGAACTGTTATCTATTGCTAACTGACTATCAATCATTTAAGAAATATCAAGAACATGAGCACTATTGACAGTTTGAGCTGTTTTTTTATTTATTTACTGCAACAAAGAAACATTTACTAGCAAAAAAGATCAAATATTCTAAGAGAGATTTCAATACATGAATTCCTGAAATTAAGTGTATTGTTATCATATAAGTATTACTCCATAGAACAGTCTTACAAGTTTTGACGTTATTCAAATGATTAAAATATATCAACATATTTAGTTGTGTTAATAAATGTAACATGTTGCAATAAAATAATTATTACCTTATAGGTATAGCTCAGTCAAAAGTGAAAATTCTGTCATCATTTGCTTACCCTCAGGATGTTGCAAACCTGTATGAATTTCTTTCAGCTGCTGAACACAAAAGAAGATATTTTGAAGAATGTTGGTAAACTAACATTTGATAGTAGCCACTAGCCAATGACTTCCATAGTATGGAATAAATGGATTTTATAAATGTAATACTATGGAAGTCAATGGCACCGTCAACTGTTTGGCTACCAACATTCTTCAAAATATCTTCTTTAGTGTTTGGCAGAAGAAAGAAAAATCATACAGGTTTGAATAAAGTGGAGGCTGGTAAATGACGACAGAACATTTTGGTATTTTGTTTTCTTTTTCTTTTTGGTATTCAGTATTTTTGGATGAACTATACCTTTAATATGAAAAGTGTCTGTTTTCAAAGTCACCAAAAACACAATTTTGGTGCAATCTTAAATTCCTTTTAAAAATATTAGAAAAATCAATTCAAAACACTGCAATAAACACAACTCCAAAATAAGTGGCTAATTCTTTCTTCAAAGTGATGACAAAAGGAGCATTTGAGTGACTATTAGAAGAGTTTATGAGCCTTAAGTAATTAATCACAAGACAAATTAATTATCTTAAAGGTTGTCTTCTTTTGCCCACGACATGTTAAACAATATTTATATATGCAGACTGTTTCGCTTGTACATGTTTGGACTCATATTTAATGAGGCTAACTTTATATTAGCTAGCCGAATAGGTAAACAAGCTCAAAACAACATCAAAAAATGTCATCTCATTTAATGAACAAAATACAGTGATTAGATTAATACCATATATAAATACACATACAGTCTATCATTGAAGATTTCGACTGTACTTAACAGATGAGCTGATAACACGTCAGTCGTCCGAGCATCCGCTAGTTAGCAGCTAACTAGCTAGCTGCCCTCTGTTATTTCCAAAATGCGCTAATATAAAACATACAAAAAAAATATTTGTATACTCACATTTGGGCCACTACTTTCTGTCGAAAGGCTGGACTCCTCCAATCACTATCAGGACCGGTGACCTCCATAACTGATAATGCTGAACAACGTTGAACAAGCTGTTTCCAGATTGAGTTTGCGTCTAGCGATGTCCGAATCGTGAATGTATCACTTTACTGAGTCGAATCTTTTCAATGAATCAGTTGATGCCACTCACAAAACGAAATCTCGTCTGAACGATTCGCTCGAGAATCGTACTGTAACCGAACGATCGGTTCTCGAGTCAATTCATGAATAGGAGAAATATTATAAATAAAACAATGGAATGGAAATATAATTAATTAATTGTTTATCAGTTTTATTAAACACACAGCAGAGCCCGCTGTAAAAACTGTATTTTATTAAACGCTACTTAAGGTAGAGATAGGCTACAAATGAATTAACGTTAGTTTTTGTTATGTAAATGCAAATTCTGTAGGTAAATATTGATCTGAGCTGGCTGCAACAATGTGAACTAGTACACAATAAATGTCAATAAACACTCTTTAAAGAAAACTTAATAAAAAACAGCAATATTTGATTGTCTTAAAGGCACAATATGTCATTTTCGCTGCTAGAGGGCGAATTTTCAAAATAAACAAAGAGGCAAAGGCGTAGTTTGATGATGCCGTGACTGAGTGTGGAATCATGGGAGTTGTAGTCTTCATCCCCACAGCCGATGCAATCCGGCGGGACTCGGGCAGAAATCATGTTCATGGATGAGCTAATGATTTATTAACGTAGTAGAATGAAGCAGGGTGGTGCTGAAAGCCCTGGAAGCGAAAGGAGCGTGAACGAGCGTGACACACGGCTCGAAAGCAGCGGAGCTTTTATTATGCCACAGTCGACCGCTTCTGCTCCTTCCGGTCGTCTGCAAAATATATGGTTTGGATATTTTAATTTAAAAAATCGTACATATTGTGCCTTTAAAGTGACATAACTGGTTGGGTGACGTGATTAATCACTGAAATTTATATATGTAAATTTAATACGGTCAAGAATAGATTATGGGAGTGTGGTATATGGATCAGCAGCCAAATCTGTACTTGCGAGACTTGATACAATACAGGCTAAAGCATTGAGACTATGCTTGTGGAAAACAAGCTGGAGGAAATAAACTGGAATAACATCGCAGGAAAATAATCCAGAAGATGGCGGTAATGCAACGCTTTTGGATGCAAGCCGCCGTTAAACCTCAAAGAAGAAGAAGGTGACGTGATTGCCATGACACGGTTCTTTGAACTGTTCGAAAGAATCGATTCGCGGAAATGGGTCTGGCTCTTCCTTAAAACAAAACATCTTAAGGCTAAAAGTAGTTTATAACTCACCGATTTAGGAGAAAATCTTAAAAATAATGAGTGTGTCAGTCCTAAATTTAGGACTCCTAAATTTTTGCTCTAAGAGTATTTCACAAAGCATTTTAACACTAAAACTAGCTCCTAAATCTGTAAAACGTAGTGAAGAGGACTCCTAAGTCACTAAGACCAAGCCACAAACTATCATAAAATGGCTGTTGTCAGCAATCTGTCTCGGAACGTAAACATTTTAGAAACATTTGATGATAATGATCTTTTAAAAAGGTATCGCCTTTGGTTTTGGAGGTTATCCCTACTCCAAATTTTCCTTTGATTATATCCTTGTTTTCAGTAGAGCAAGAAATAACAGCTCTTCTTGTATCCAGTTTGGTTTTCTTTTATGTTTGCATGTCTTACTATTAGCCATGATTATTATACTCTGTTAACTAAAAGGCTGTTTATATGCATATTCACCAATTGTTTACGAGAATACATGTAAGAGGCTGACAATTAGCTGAACATACTTGTTTAATTAATTAATTAAATTAATTTCACTTAGCCTGCATTTTAATATCTTGATTTGAATGTGGCAATTAACATTTTCATTTTTAAATCTTTATTTGAATATGGCAACATGATATTGCGCTCTACAATAATCTCTGACAGAGGCTATCAGCCAATCCCTGTGTGCATAGTTAGTGAGCATGCTGACATCATCCATAGCAACGAGGTCAACCCCGCCCTTACTCTTAACTTTTCTCTATTCCTTAGTAAAAGTTTGTCTCAGCAGCTTTGTGAATATGTTTTAAGAGAAAACTCTTAGCTAAAAACTTTTTCTGCTATTTAGGAAAACTCTTAGTGGTAAAATAAAATGTTTTGTGAATACGGGCCCTGATATACATACACACACATATACACTCACATGTACACACACACACACACATATAAATTTTTTTTCAGGTAATTGTATTGCACAGTGAAGTCTGTTGACGAAAATAATTAGATTCACTTTACTGCACCGTTGTATGTGACTAATAAAACTTTACATAGATGGTTTATATTACATTATTTGTAGCCCCTAAATTAAAGCTTGTTCTCACCATAACCAGTGGCATGTGTCAGATTATATATCTCTATTTTAAGTCATGGTTAAAGATTATTTTCATTTCTTCATTAATTAATCTGTGTTGATTTAGTATCACTGAGATTATAGTTTTATTATTATTTTGATTTAGTTTTCATCTCTGTATATTCTGTTTTTATTTTATTTTTAGTGACAATTTTACAAATTTTATTGTGTTTTGTCATTTTATTTTATTTTTTTTCATTATATTTTATATTCAAGTAACAAATATCTGGTACAATTGCACAATTTGGAACAATTTGGTTCCAAAATAGTTAATCACTGAATTACTGGCTTTTATTTTCGTTTTCAGATAAGTGTAAGCAGTAAGCACTGGGGTGTGGTTATTATGCAGACAAGCCATGGGTGACATGTCAAATGAAAAACTATTTCCTTCCGCATTTTTCACACATTGGTTGAAAGTTGGCTTCTTGCCCAAAGTTCACTGTATTTTTACTTACTGTAGTATTATTCTTTTGTCATTTGGTGGCCATGCATGATCAGTAATACTGAATGTTAATAGCAGGCAATTACCCATTCAAATCCTTCTTGATGACAAAATTTGAGTAGCATGTCAGTTAGGCTACCCTTTATTGCATCAGGGCCCTGTAACATTTGTTGACAATGTTTACTTTAGGACTCAAAAACAAGTTGTGTGACATACACTACATTTTGGCCATTCTTGACAAAACGCTGCAATTTTAAGTGAGCAGAATTTGCCAAGGATACTGATGGTATATGATATCAATAACTAAAACATTTTTTTTTTTTTTGCATTGATGTTTGTTCTTGCCTGAACAATGAGCACATCTTTGTAAAGGATGTGATGTAATAAAGCGGTATAACAGTGTCAGAGTGTGACTACTGATGATTCAGTATCCTCTGGTTTTGAAAGGAATTTAGATGCACTAAGATTCAGTGTGTGTAATATTCAGAAATGTGTGCGTTAATTCATGCAAAAGCAGTTTTTATAGGGCCTTAACCTGCAGGTTCACTAGTTTTAATGCATTTTTGGCTTTGTTTGATCTTAGACACTTCTGGCAAGCAACAGTTCATAAAAGCTTTGTGCCTTCTGACCTACTTTTTGTACACTTGGTGTGTGTGTGTGTGTGTGTGTGTGTGTGTGTACTTGAGCGAAAGACTCTGTGTCCACAGATTAATTCCCACCTTGCAGGAGTGTTAGTGTCAAACCAATTTGTTGCACCACTGATCCAAGGAAAGATTTTGAGACCTGGAAATGCAAGACATTATGAAATAAATCTGAATCTATTAACATTCGAGACTTGAGGTGACAGTGTTGCCAGGCATTGCGCAAGTTGGAGTTTCATCCGGCACTGCAACTAAAAGAGCTCTTCTTTATTAAAGGAAGAAAAGGAAATAATCCTTGAATTTGGCAATCTTGTAAAATGATTCAGAATAATTGCTGTTTCTTTTTTGTATTTAGGTTCTGGATGATAAAGTGTCTGAATATAATCTTGTCCTCTTTTATGCTGAATTTGACGTTCTACTCTTGCAGACTGGGATTAACAATTTAGGAAAAGCAACATAATCCATTTTTTTCGTATCCCGGGGTGTATGTACTTGAATAAAGGCCTGTTCACACCATAATTATGATTAGCGTCCACAACAATAATGTTGTGTTTATTCTAAGTGCACTCTGCAGTTTTGTCGTCTGCCATTTTAAATGCTCAGGCTCTTTAAAGTCAGGTGGATTTTGATTGGCTGTTAATGTTTTTATCGTTCGTCATCGGGGAAAAAAATGATTGTGAATGTTATCGTTCCTCTGTGTCATTACTGTTATAGTTGTGTTGTGGATATCCCAAATCGTATATAATTATAACAATTATTGAAACTTTATAGTTAAGGGCCATTTACACCAATAACGATAACTTTATTAGCATACACCAATGCACGATAGCATTGTGCAGTCATGTTGTCTGCCACTCTAAATGCTCAAACTCTTTAAAGGAGGGTGAATTCTGATTGGCTATCAATGTTTTTATTGGTCATCAACTATAATTCTCATAGAAGAAGAAGAATTGTTAAAACCTTATGGTTATTATAGTTACGGTTAAGGTGCAGTCATATTCGTGAAATTTTGAGGGACAAAACAGCTTCTGTTGGCCAGCATGGCAAATTCACATGACCAACTTGAAAATTTGTTAAATCTAGATGTGGAACATTTTCACCCTCACGCCAATATTTTTATTGCGCAGATTCCTATTGGAATAACTGGATTTCGCTCGTGAAATTTCAGAGGGCAATGACGAATGTGAAAGCAGCTTTTTAGTCATTGCTAAAAAAAAAAAAAAAAAGATATCTTATTGTTTTTGTACTCATTAAAATTTGATTTAGACTTTCTTACTTTTAAATACTTAACTACAGTTAAACTTAAAAATGTTTTGGCTACAGATAGCTACTTAAAATCTCCACACTAAATATCCATACTTTTATTTAAGTAGGCCTACACATGTCAACAACAGGGGCAAGTTCAAGCTCAAACCGGTGTGCACCGTTTTGCTACGGTTTCCGGTTTGAACAACATGTTTCCTGGAAACGGTGTGCAACGGGGTTTGAGATGAGTTTTCTCTTGTTTGGTGGGTGTGTCAAACATGTCAGCCCAATCAGCAGCAACATGTATGTAAACCACGCTGTATTAAAGAGACAGCTCGCACAATGTAATTAACATCAAAATAAAC